GGGATTCTATGCTTTTTTCAACCCCAGGTAGTATTCTCATTATTGTGATTTTAAGTTCTAGTTCAGAAATGTTGCTTATATCTGTGTTAATTAAATCTCTGGCTGTCATTTTGTCGTGTTTTTTCTATTGGAGTGAATTTCTTCATTTTGTCATTTTGGGAGAGGAAAAAAACTGAATAAAATTTAAACTCAAAAATTAAATACGAGACAATAAATCAAATGAAGGAAGCTAGATCCTAGGTGTGTTTTCTTCTGGTTGTTGAAACAAGCTTGATAGAATAGAGGAAAAAGGAAAAGAAAAGAAGAAATAAAGTAAGAAAACATTTAAAAATTTAAAAATGTATACAATAAAATAGAATAAAATGAAGAAGGTAAAATCGAATAAAATATTTACAAAATATTTTTAAAAAATTTTTAAATTTATAAAAATGGAAAATAATTTTTTTTTCTATTTCCATATCCAAGAATAAGAAAAGAAAGAAAATGAATAGCTGGACCAGTGAAAAGAAAGAAATCTGAATGAAATTACATCCAGTTTCCCCCTAGAAGTAGAACTGAAGCACTTTATAGTCTATACACTAGGCAGGCAGAGAGACTTGTCATCCTCTAAGGCTTGGTTCGTGCAGTTGGATGGGGCTTGGTGTAACAGCTTTGTTCTTCACTAGGTGGCGCTGCTTAGCTTAGTGGGGTGGATCGGTGTGCCACGCACGGAACGTGTATGCACATGTGTGAGGGAGGTGCAATGGTGCCACTCAGCTTCCCAATCTAGCATCAGAGCTCTATGATCTTGCCAATGGACGTTCAAGCACCCCTCTTTTGTCTCCAGCTTCTATCTACTTCTGGCTTCCTCCCTGTCCATTATCAAGCTGTCAGACTACCAAACAATACCTCCTTCCCAAATTTTATCTCAGATGGAGCTGTGTTTCCAAACCCTTCACTTCTGAGGGCCCTGTGGCTTGAACCTGCTCTGACCCTCTGGGGGAGGGACTCACAGAGCAATGGCCAGGTGCCCACCTGTCCTAGGCAATGCTCACATGACCTTACCACTGCAGAAGCCCAGAGACTGTGGCCATGTGCCAGCCCACTCTAGAAAAAGTTCGTGTGATCGCATAGTATCAGCAGTTCAGGGATTATGGTAAATCATAACAACAGCTCGTGCCACGTTTCACTGCATCTTTGTCCACTTCACTCTGGCATCTTTGTTCCAATGCCAGCAACCGTGGCTGTTCTCCAGGTCTGCTGGGACCTTTGCCTATGGGGAGGCCATAGGGCCTTTTCCAAATACCCTCCTAACAAGGTAACTGCTATCCCTATGTGCCCTAGAGACCCCTCAGACCTTGCTGTCTGGTCCGGGGGAATCACCCTTCCCACAAGAGCACTGCCAGATATTGCACTGCAGAATTTCCACATGTGCTCTCTCCTACTTATAGAGTCCTAATGGTATTGAAACCCTCATCTTTCTCCCTTTCTTGTTCAGTCGCTTGAGGGTATTTCCACTCTTTCTCTTTCTCTCCACCTATTTCTGGAGAGAGGGCTTTTCCTATACTCTGCCCCACTTTTTCTGTCCTCTGTCCACAAAAACAGCTCTGTAGCCTCTGCAGCTTCTCTCTCCCCCTGTTCACCTCTCTGTGATGGGTACCTGCTTGAGTTCTATGGCTCAAGTTATGCAGATTGTTGTGTTAATCTTCAAATCAATTTTCTACGTGTGCAGAATGGTTTGTATCTGTTCCAGCTGCATTTCAGGGATGAGAGATGTAGAGAACTTCCATGCTGCTCTGCCATCTTGGCCCTTCCCTTCTGAGTGCATACTTTTTAAAGTACTTCCCTAAGCACTTTTGTTTAAAGTTTTATTTGTTTGTTTGTTTGTTTGTTTTTGAGGGAGAAAGAATGGGGGAGAGTCAAAGAGAGAGAGAATCCTAAGCAGTTTCCACACTGTCAGTGCAGAGCCCAAAGTGGGGCTCCATCTCTCATGAACCATGAGATCAAGACCTGAGCCAAAAGAGTTGGGCTTTCAACCAACTGAGTCACCCAGGTACCCTGTATAAGGCATTTTTTAATAAAAAATTTTTAGGTTATCAATGAGTGAAACTTGAAGTTTCAAAAATGCATGGGTTTAATTTATATTTAGGCCTTCATATTTCCTTATATTTAAGTTAGGCAATAGTAATTTCCTCATTTATTCTTTCATCCAACAAACTTATCCAGCACTTATTACATTCTGGGTGCCATTCTTAGAACTGAACAAAACAGACAAAATCCCTGTTTTCCTGCAGCTAACATAATAGGGGGAAAAGACAGACACAAATAATAAATGTAATAAGTAAGCAAATAGTTGCGTATATTGGAGGGAGAAAAATGCTCTGGAAAATGAAAAAAAGTAAATGTAGCAAACTGGTGATCTGAAGTGCAGGGAGGGGGCATTGGCAGACTGCATTATTAAATAAGATAGTCAGGCTAGATAGGCTCATGAACATGTAAGGGAGGCAGAAATGAATAAGATGTACAGCAGAGATTTTTTTTCATATTTCTACTTGATTCTCTAAGTTTTCTCAGTTTAAACTACAATAAGAATCACTCATATATCTTTTATATCAACATATATTTTATATTTTATTCGTACATCTAGTTACATTGATAATCCTTAGTCACACATCTTCCTCATGGGATTCATGTGTGATCAACTTCACTCATTTTAGGACCTCAGAAGCACTGTGTTAAAAATCAGAAGACTCTTGAAAAGCAGTTGACTAATGAGGATGTAGAATCCATAGTGAAATAGGCTACTTTCCAAAACATAAAAGAAGATCCCAGAGCAAATTATGACACTGTGGCCCAGTCCCTTGGAAGGGCAGAGAACAAGACCTTTTCTGAAAAGTTAATAATAAAGTGATGTGCTTTGTTTATAAATTAGGGACAGTATCCTACTATAACAATGTTCTCTGAAATACTTTTCTGTCTAGAGATGGGTATTGCTGAAGTCTTCTGTCTCCCTGCACCTCTTGTGCCTAATGACTTGGCCTGCTGAGCCAGTTAACTGTGATTAGACAACTGTCAGTCACTGCTGGAAATCCAATCATTTCAAAACTGATGTTGTTCTAGGAAATTGGTCTAAATTTTGAGTAACAAAAAGAAGAACCAAACACATATAATTTATAATTCAGCAAGAGTTGTTAGATATGTGGCCTGATTACCTACAATTTTAAAGTTACGGCACACACTATGCATACCACATCTGGAATTATAACAATGCTCAGGTTTCTAATGCCATCTTCTATAGTACGATTATGCTCTAACACTCCTTTTGTCCTTATTTACCTATTTCCTTTGTGATAAGGCCATCTCTGGATTGAAGTTTACACTACTGACCTTATTTGGATCTTTGATTTCTAAACTGACATTCCTTGACTAACATTTCATAGATTAACTGTTCTCTATATTCAGAAGGTACTTTCTTCCCATGACTGAGTCCCTTTTAATATTAATTATTCATACTGAAGTTGGACTTTTTACCAGTTACATTTCAATAGACCTTTCTGTATATTCTGTGGCTTCTAATAAGAGAGAGGATTATGAGGATGCTATCAAAGACCCCCCCCCCCAATTACAGCTCATATTATCCCTGTTTATTTAGCACAACCTCAAACTAATATTTAGAAATGTATCATTTCCCCCATTTGTTATGTGTCTGGGTACATAATATAGCACCAGTGAAAGACCTCCAAACTTTTTTTAACTTGGGTATGTTTTGTGTATCCTGAGGTTAGCACTCTTGAGAGTGTCTTCTTCTTTATGAAGTGCCAATATTCTTTGTCCAGAAAATACACTCTTTCTTTATGTTTCATAAATCTCAGTCTAAACAGGCACACCTAAATTTATTGCGCTTCACTTTACTGCACTTTTCAGATATTGCTTTTTTTACACATTGAAGGTTTGTGGCAACCTTGCATCAAGCAAGTCTATTGGCACTACCTCTTCACCAATGTTTGCTCACTTCACGTCTATTCTCACAATATTTCAAACTTTTTCATTATTATATCAGTGATTACGACTCACTGAAAGCTCAGATGATGATTAGCATTTTTTAGCAACAAAGTATTTTTAATTTAAGTATTTACGTTTTCTAGACATAATTCTATCACACACTTAACACAGTATAGTTTAAATGTAACTTTTATATGCACTGAGAACCCAAAAAACTCATTTGACTCACTTTAATGCAATATTTGCTTCATTGAGGTTGGTCTGGGACAGAATGAACCTATGGTATCTGCAAGGTAGGCTTGTGTTCTTTATCTACAACACTTCAGAAAGTATTTCTTTTTATAGAAATGATATTCTTTATTCTAAAAAATACTGCTGCTTACTCAGTTACCTTTAATCTCGAACCACAGTCTTAACTGCAGACATAACCCCACATTCAGTCCTTTTCTCTAGATCCTTTGTTTACCTTCTTTATGAGTGCCAGGTTTGCTATGAAGTTGATGATTCTTAATATAGGTCCTTTGTCATGCCCTGCACTTAATTTCCAATTCATAATTTTGTATTTTCTTTAAGAGAGCCCTTCAAATTGCATAAGCCTTAGGTGCCACAAATCCTTGATCTGCCCTATCCCTTCATAGGATTTAAGAGGAAAAGGCTCATATAAGAAAGCAACCCAGTGTCCTGATTTAAACCAAGATACAACTTTACAGATTAGCAGTCTCTTTCTTTTGGGTGGCCAACTTTTCTAGGTTAGCTTGAAGTGGATGGAAGGGCTTCACTTGTACAGTCTTCTATAAATCCCTATTTTACAGTGAAGTATTAACACTTTGGGGAACACTTATGTGGCATGTTGATATAAATACTATATTTGACCCATACTGGCACCCAAAGCAGTAGGAATTATGGTCCCAGACTCTTAAGTATTAGGATAATTTGTCCAAGGTCATACAGTTAAAACATTGGTATCTGGGATTTAAAACCACTTCCAACTCAACACAACTGTATTGCTCTCTTTATAAGTTGATACTTTATTTTACCAAGGTATCCATAGGCTGCAAAGTTGGAGATAAGCATGAGGGATAAGATACTCAGAAATTTTCCAAATTACTTAGTAATATGAAATCAGACATACTGCATTTTTCCATTTGCCACCAGATAAAATTATCAATGAGAACTGCTTAACAGAAATGTTCAGCTCTAAACAGGGTGGTGGTGGCAACATTTTGTCCTACAAAATAATTTTCACTTCCCCCTTCAATTAACAGTGCTGTTCTTCCACTATGCATATCTGCGTGGGAATTTTTGTCAGGAGTTTTAGCCCAGGGCCAGGAAAATAAAAATGGGGCATTTCCTAGCTTCCTATCTGGCTAATTGTAAGCTCAATTAACATTCTGGGCACGAATTTATAAAATCTGGCCATAGTTTTGCTAAGTATCTACAAAGCTGAATAATTCCTTCGTCCTTAGGCATAGATTTCCACAGCCTCTGCCAAATGCCTTAAAGCTTCGCTCAGCCCATTCTGTGACTCTTCTTCTCCCGGCTGCGGTGGGGACTAGTCATCACCGTCCGGAAGGTCACTGTAGGAGCAGCCTGGCAGCGTCGGTGTGCTCTGCAGGCGGTGAGCAGGTGGTAAAACCCAGGCAGGGACACCAGGATGCCAACAATCGGAGTGGCAACAGCCCGGTTGGCGCCCACTTTGCTGATGTAGCCCGCCAGCAGGAGGCAGCCCACGGCAGGGAGAAAAGCGCCCCTCAAAAACTGCGCAGCAGCACAGGCAACGGCCTTGTAAGGAATCCTAGTGGAGTTTTTCTTAAACTTTAATAAGCAAGATTTCACTGGACTTCTATTTGATTTAAAGCTACCTTCAGTAGGTGAAGTTTCCTTCTGACGGTCAATGTGTCCAATGCCAGTGCCAGAGAGCTTTGAGTATTTTACTTTGCTACTGGGGATCCCAGCAGCCACGTTGGTGCGACTGGGGATCATAATCCACAGGGTGCGTGCGGAGCTGTCCCACTGCCACACAGTGGGCAGGGCGTCAGGGCCCACGCGCCCACCCAGCGGCTGCCTAGACCCACGTGGAGGCTCGCCTTAGCATCTCTCACTCATCTAACTCTGCCTAAAAAACTGTTTCTGCAAGATTGCTGCGTTTTTGATGGAATTCCTCGTTTATTGAGCAAAGTTGTGATTCCTTTGCTAGTCTGATATTATATTGGCTGTGTTATTTTCTTAGGGCAGTTCTAGTGAACTCTGATTCCTTTGACATAACTGTTTAGATTGAGCAGATTAGCTTACATTCAGTAGATTTCATTCGGTCACTTTCATAGAATTTCCATTTTCTCTACATGTTCATAAGCACATCCTATGTTTGCCTCTCTTCCATTGGTCTAACATACAGCACACCTAGCTAATCTGATCAGCCTCCAAGGGCCAATTAAAGGAGAGAAGAGATGTGAAAGTTGGAATCAAACCTGGCTGAAATTCTGGCTCTGCCTCTTATTAACTGTAAGCTTATTCATTGCGCATATCCAAGAACCTAGTTCCTTCTGTAAAAGGGGAATTGTAAAATGCAGTGCAGGAGATTATTGTGAGTACTTACTTACTGAATGAAGGATGCAGACTGCCTTGCTTAGAGCAGGTGCTCTCCACAGAACTCAAGTTCTGATATGATCAAGGGCAAGGCATGCCCAAAGACTTTAAGACATTTCACTCCTAAGGTTTAGCTCCTTTTATAGATAACAGCTTTCCTGCATCTCATATTGTCTCATCATTGAATTGACTGCCTTGTGGGAGTGGCGTGCCCTTTAGAATGGTACGGTTTATTTAGGAGTGGTGTGGTCTTCTGTTAGGCTGTTGCAGATGGGGTTCCTTCTTCCTGAGGGGTTGAATTGGAGACCTCTAAATTCTCTCTCAGCTCCTGGAATTTGTACCTGAGCAGCAGCCTCTGCTTAAAACTTTTTTTTTTTTAACCAAACAACTGTAGTATTTCTCCCACTTGTGTGCTGTATGCCATCTTTTTACTAACCTATGCCTTTATACTAGTTTATAATTCAGCTTAAAATTTTCACCTACTACATCCATTATCCTATTTAATTCAATTTAACCTCTCTCCTTGGAATGTGCATTTTAAATTCTATGAGTGAGTATTATTTTTTTTAAGTGTATTCTTTTATATTTGGGATTACTTCATTACCCAAACTAGAATATAAAACTTCTCTGTGGGAGTAATGATAAATCTTCAAAATCCTCTCAACCATAGAGAGAACCTAGCATTGAGCTTTTCATTTTTGTAAACCCAGTGTTTGTTGGTTAAATTTACTACAAATAGAATATACACTACTTAAGAGAGTTCTTCCTATAACTATTTATATTAAAGTCTGACTTTTATTTACATGGCATTTTCTAATGTACAATCTCTCCTTTCTAACATCTCTCAGAAATACAAAGTTTGATTTGCATTTTTGACACCAGGTCACACAGCTAGTTAATATCAAAGCTAAGAATAGGTTATATGTAGATGATCTTCAAACTAGAGGCAAATCATTTATAATGGATTTGAAATTTGCCTTCATTCAAACTTGTGTTATATGTCTATTATCAGATTTAGTATGAACTAGATGATAGAAACATGTCTCAAACATGTCAGTTATGGGCTGTAGAGACCAGACTTTTGCATTATAAAAGAGAAGAGCAGTCATGAGAGATCTGTTTGAGAAAAGAGACTTAAACTGAGGCAGAAGAAGGCAGTCTCATTCCAAATGGCCACTCTCAAGGATACAACCCAATTTCAGTGGGATCTTACTGACCCAAAGGAAACGTATACCTGAGGTTGTGATTGTGCTCACGGGAAACAAAAGGAAAAGATATTAACACAAGGTATAAACTGTAGAACAATACTGGAATTCCAGAGTTCAGAGGAGTTGATAATTCATTACAGAAATATATTTCAGTGACTCAACATTAATATATTATTTTATTATATTTATCAACTGGAGTGATCCTTATCATGTTACTGCTCACTTAAACAATGCGGTTAGTTTGTTTTATTAATATGTAAGTAATCAATTTTTAAGTTTAAAAGTATAAGCATAAGTAATCTCAGTACTCATTTAAAATAGCTTAGAGTCCAGACTTTCCCTGAGATTATGTGACCATTTAGTCAATTGTTAATTAGGATAATTAAGGGAAGAACTGAGCTTTGTAGACTTAACCCAGGAACTACTTCAAACTACTCTAATCTCAAACTGGCAGAGATAAAGTAAAATTATTCATATACCTCAAGGCTCTCAACAGAGTATAACATATCTGAGCAAAATTCACTTGCTTTTCTCTGTTTCCTCCCATCTCTACCCATCACTATTACATACAATTATTGGCAATTAAAAGCAACAAAATCATGTTTTACTATAGTGTCCCCCCCACTTAGCCTATATAAGAGATACAGTAGAGGTGACTCAAATATTTTAATGAACTATGCTTTACCCTGTCAATAATGTGTGTGTGCATGTGTATATGAATGTTCACTCTAATTAACATGATAATACACTGATAAATCCATTTGTCTTGTCTCTTTCTAAGGACAATTGGAGATTGGAAAAATTGTATGACTGTATCACAGAATGAGAGATTTGAAAAGATGAAAAGTCTTCCTATTAAATTTGTCTGGGATATTAGTAAAGGACTTTACATTCAGGACAGCAGAAAATCACCTACAACATGTGTGCATTAGAATTACACAAATATATAAAACGATACAGATGCTTTTTTGGTTCTTTGATTTTTTTTTTTTGGCCCTGCATTTGCTTCTTCTTTTTCTTTCTTTAAATGTTTAATTACTTTTGAGAGAGAGAGAGAGAGACCAAGTGCAAGAGGGGGAAGGGCACAGAGAGGGAGACACAGAATCAGAAGCAAAGTCCAGGCTCTGAGCTGTCAGCACAGAGCCTGACGTGGGGCTCAGAGTCACGAACCATGAGATCATGACCCGAGCGAACTCACCAACTATGAGATCGTGACCTGAGCTGAACAGACGCTTAACCAACTGAGTCACCCTGGCGCCCCACCTTTGCTTCTTTTAAACTTTGAATTAAATTTTAGGCATGTTTTCCCCCTTGATTTGATGGTATAAACTTGGAACTTAGCTATTTGGAGGAGACAGATTTCATACTTCTTAACTTACAGACTATTTTTAAACTCCTATGCCTCTATTTAACAAGAGAGAAAAAACATAAAAATATGGCCCTAATGGAAAGACTGTTTCTATAGCATCCTTTCATGAACATAGTCTTTCAAGTTTTAGCTCTCTGTCTCTGTAGAATGAGTCACAATGGTTCTCTTTTTTCCTTTGAAAACCAAGTCACACTCATATCTGTCAGCCATTTATGTTTACCATCATTCCAAAGGCCTTGAATACCTATTATCTATCTTTGTTTCCTTATAGCCTTTTTTTGTTTGTTTTTGCTTCCCTTTTATTGCAGTAGCTCCATGATAGCTTACCATACAAGAGCTACTTTGGTTATTTCTTACTTGTGGAAAAACTTAAATTAAATGACTGAATCATCTGAATTAGATTTGGTCTGGTTATTCACCCATGTATAATTCTGCTAGAGCAGTAGAACTAAGCTATTGGTAATAGTTATCCTCCTCTGCCTCACTCAGCACACACACATTCACACACACACACACACACACACACACACACACACGTTAGAAAGCCTCCTACAGGCTACAATACAAATTGTTCTGCAGAGAATGAGACAAGAAAGGGTTAATAGACTTTTCTTTGTCCAAGATTTTTCAGAAATTGTCTGTTCAGTAAGATACTTTCCATTTAGGAATAATTGTTATGAATACCATAAATGATTTTGGACATCTGTAATTACTTGGATTTAAAACATTTGAACACTGCTTTTCATTCATATACACATACGCTCTTCATAGTTTGCTATTAATTTGGAAATCCATTCATAACTTAAAAAACAATAGTGACGATATTAGTATTTTCTTATCAGAAAATTAGTTGTAATATATGATAGGCTTATGTGTTTATTCACTCCTAGTTTTATTAGACGTTTATTTACTAGTGTTTATTTCCTTTCACCCTAGAGTCCTTAGGTGATTTTCCTGGAATCTGTCCTCAAATCTACCTTTTCTCTTGGTTATCTATCCTTTACTGTGTGCACAATGATCTCTGGCCACAGTGAACTCCTTGGTGATTCACAAAAGTAACAAGCTCTCCTCATCTTGTAAGCTTTTATAATTCCTACTTTTTCCCCCAGGAATAATTACTCTCCCTTGTCTGCCCAGTTACTTTTATTTCTCCTTCAACCATTAACTCATCAAATATTTGGTTCATGACTACTGTGTATCAGGCACTGTGATATAATAGTCAATCGTCAAAATTCCTTTTCTCATAGATTACTTGGTATCAGGATGAAGGCAGAGAGAGGAGAGATGCTAAATAAAAAACACAAGTACATATAAAACTATAGACTGCACTAAAGTAATATAAAAAGGTAAATGAAGCAATAGCACTGTAACTGCATGACCTACTGTAAGAAATCAGGGAAAATTTCTTGCAGAGAATACAGACCTGGGTGAAAGGCTTATTGATCAGAAGGAGTGTGGCACTGTAGAAATTGACAGGAGACAAAGTGGCTGTAGAAGAGAGAATGGAAAGGACAGCAGTGTGAGAGCAGCCTGCAGTCAGACCTGGGTCAGCCACACATATAGGCCAGACCTATGGTCAGTTATTTTAGGCCTTAGTAGGTCCTGAGGTGGAGGATGCATAACTCTGTGTGTCCACTCCATCACAAAAAGTGACTTTTAATGGATGCAAATTTAAAAATCTGCCTTGATGTCTAAGGAACCTGGGATGGAATTGAACCAGGGACAAATGAATCTATTATAGATATGTGACGTAACACAACTGAGTGGGATGGGGGAAAAGGATCTGACCTAAATATTTTGTCTAAGTACTGTAAAATTAAAGACAAAAAGAATGCCAAAAAAATTGTACTCCGTAATTTTTTTCTCATACATGTATGATTTAGCAATTCTTAAACTATTTAATGTGTATACTGGGGTCAAACAAATCAAGTGTATTATAGGTATGTGTTTCTTACTCTGAAAAAAAGAAGACACATTGGAAATCTTTGTACTATCTTTGAAAAACTTCTGTAGGTATCTTATTTAAAAATAAAAAGTGTAGGGGCACCTGGGTGGCTTAGTCGGTTAAGCGTCCGACTTTCGCTTAGGTCATGATCTCGAGGTTCGTGGGTTCGAGCCCCGCATCGGGCTCTGTGCTGACTGCCAGCTCAGAGCCTGGAGCCTGTTTCAGTCTGTGACTCCCAATCTCTCTGACCCTCCCCTGCTCACACTGTCTCTCTCCTAGAAATAAATAAAAAACATTTAAAAAAAATAAAAAATAAAAAGCGTATTGGGGCACCTGGATGGCTTAGTCGGTTAAGTGTCTGATTTTGGCTGAGGTCATGATCTCTCACTTCTTGACTTCAAGCCCCACATTGGGCTCTATGCTGACAGCTCAGAGTCTGGAGCCTGCTTCAGATTCTGTGTCTCCCTCTCTCTGTGTCCCTCCCTCATTCACACTCTGTCTCTCTTTTTCTCAAAGAAGTAAACAAGCTTTAAAAATTTTTTTAAATAAAAACCTTATTGATATCTGTGGGTACCAGACTATCTATAACAACATTGTAATTGTCAACAACCCAACTATATGATTCTTTTGCACTGATTTGACTCCTTAGTTATATCCCAGATGAACTTCATGGGAAAATCTTTCATTTTGCTTGAGAATATTCTGTCAAATCTTTCATTTTGTTCCTCAGTCAAGTGATATTTCCAGTCTCCAATTGTACCTAGTGAGACAATAATATGAACAGCACTTAGGTGAAGAAGTAGCACTATCAAGATCACTGGTAACTGACACATTTGAACATGTTTATTCATTATCCTTTTTGAATAAAATATTTGTTCAGGAAGCATTATAATCCGCACCTTAGAAATGAGGAAATTTAGGATCAGATGTTAAGTGAATGATCTCCCAAGCTCTCAGTTAGTAGAAAAACCTATTATTCCAATTTTCAGCCTTTTGTACCAGAACCATCTGACATACTTCCATGATATGCAAGGCATTCATTTTGACGGTGAACTAAAATATTAATTATTAAACAGTAAATCTTCACTTCCATTGTGTTCAGTCTCTAGGTCTAGCTCATTCTGTGTTTGTTCATTATTAATTGAGCATCAATATCAGAAAGAGAGAAATCACAAGCTCCTTTCATAAAAACTATGTAGCCATAGGGATACTTATCTCAAGAGAATCCTATAAAGTTAGTTGATAATAATAAGAAAGGCACAGACACAAAATGTATACGTTTGAGAATGTGCTTAGTACTCTCCTTTAATGTCTTTTTCAAGGGCCATAGCATCATTTGCTTTTTAATTTTTACTAAACATTTTTACTTTTTATCATATTTATTTTTAAAACAAGCACCTTTAGTAACAGACAAGCACCTTTAGTAACAGATCCTAATGTCTTATAGGTCTTTAGATAAATAGAGATGAATCTGTCTGACCTTTATAAAAAAAATTTAAGTATCAGATGATACATGCAAACTGTATCAAGAAGTTCTTTTAGAAAACTTTATCCAAAAAGTATAGGTGAAAATGTTCTAGATCCATACTCTCCAGACAGTCTGAGTTCTGGAAGAATCAGCCTATTAAAGATAACATCAATTTGGAGTATAATTCATTTTATTTTACTGATTATATTGCATTTAGAAAGGTTGGAACTGGTATGGTTCAACTAATAGTGATTAATGTCTTGAGCATGTGGCAGTAGCTCACATAGTACAGTAATTTCCAGGTCTCTAATTGTCTGCTTGGGGGCAATAATATGGCTTCATTCTGCTTGTCCCATAAGGACCTTCATTTATGCAGGGAAGCCCCCCTTATGCCCAACAAAGATGACTGGAGACAAAAGCCAATAAACTCCACAACATATTTTTTTGGCAGTATTCTTTCTCTCTTTTACCTTGACCCAGGTCTTAAAGTAGCCAACAAGCTGATATTATACCCATTTACTTATTTATATGAACTTGTACTCCATGTGTCATTTATGAAAAACTTTTCCTATCACTTTAGAATTCAATGGTCTCCCTGAAGTCACTCCCTACAGTTCTAGAAGTGTGACTCATTTTGATATATAATCATAATATGCTTACCTTTGCTGCCTGACATGTATGTTCTCTGAAAGACAAACACTGTAAGCTACTTGAAGTAGTTTACCTACTTTCTCTTTGCACCTCCATAATACAAACAGTGGACTAATACATAGATATTGAAAACCCATAGTTTCCTTTCTCCTGGAGTGCATCCTTCTGCTTCTTGGTACATATTTCTTTGGAATTTGTGACAATACAATCAAGAACTCATTCTTGTCATTCATAAGAGATATTATTGATTTCTCTTCCTGGACTGGGAACTAGGAAATGTTCATGTAACCTTTTAATTGGATTTGCCTTACATCAGTATTTATACACTTTTTTCTTAAAACATGATTGCTGGCACAAAATTATGAAGTAATGCAGAATCTAGGAGCATTATTAAAAGCTCCAGATGGCAAATACCTAAATGTATTAGGGAATGGAGACCAAGAAACCCTGAAAGCATTTTGGAACTCTCAAGGACTTTGGTAAGGTGATTAAGACACCTACATATGGTACAAAATTTAGTGAGATGCCCCAGGGCACTTGGGTGGCTGAGTCCATTGAAAATGACTCTTGGTTTTGGCTCAGGTCATGATCCCAAGGTTGTGAGATTGAGCACTGCATCAGGCTCCATGCTGAGCATGGAACCTGCTTAAGATTCTCTCTCTCTCTCTCTCTGTCTCCCCCTCCCTCCATCCTACCTCCCTCCTCCCTCTCTCTCTTTCACTCACCCCACTCTCATCCCTCTCCCCTACATGTGTTCTCTCTTTCTCTAAAAAAAAAGAAGAAAAAGAGAAAAAAAAATCCTCCTCCCAATATCTACAAATGCCATCTATATCTGATTAGGGTAAACTTTATAAGAAATGAGCAAGGCATATTTAAGGATCATGTACCTTCACCAAATGACCCAAAAGAAAATACAAATAAATGGTGAGTGTACAAAATCTCTGGATGGGAAGATTCAATTAGTGTTGATGCCAGTTTTTAAATGGCTTTTTAAGAGTAAAGGAATACTGGGGCACTCGGGTGGCTCAGTCGGTTAAGCGTCCGACTTCGGCTCAGGTCATGATCTCACAGTTCATGGGGTTGGGCTCTGTGCTGACAGCTAGCTCAGAGCCTGGAGCCTGCTTCAGGGTCTGTGTCTCCCACTCTCTCTGACCCTCCCCTGCTCACACTGTCTCTCTTTCAGAAATAACATTTTAAAAAATACTTTAAAAAAAGAGTAAAGGAATACTTAAGGAAATTCTAATAAAACACATTATGACAGTTTATGTTAGAAATTATGGCTTGGTTATGAAAAAGTATATCAGCAGAAAATACATCATTTTATTTAAGTCAACTGATGTGCATATAATTGTTTAGAACAAGATAATGTCTATTTTAATCAGTAGGAAAATAATGGCTATTTATTAAATGATTTTTTTCTGTTAGAAAAAATAAGTGTCTTACAACATGAGATAAACATGCAGATTAAGTAAAGATAGGATTTATCAATACATGAAAATACTTGTGATAGCAACACTCTAAGTTAGAAACAAAACAGAAACCATAAAATGAAAAGTTGACTCATTTGATTGCCTAAAATTTAAATTCTTTAAATATGAAGAAAGACCATAAGTAGTCTTTTTTAATAAGTGACAAGACTTCTATTTTATGATTTCAAATCAATCACATATTAAGACCTTCTTTGTTGCTCAAGAGCTTTGGAATTGCTGAACATAAAATAAAATTGATTCCATAATTATACACCAAAATAAAGAGAGAAATTCTCTCCTGATCAGAAACTGTGGAATTCAACAAATGGAAAACAGGCTACAGATGGCAAATGATGTAAAGGCACATATTAATATTTATTAATCACTGAGGTTTTTCAATAATGAGCCAATGATAGTGAAAGATAAAAGTATACAGCTCAATATATTTCTTTCTGAGGGTATTTTCTTAAAACAGTTTGCATTGCTTAGAATTCTATTCTTCATTCATATCCCAGATGAACTTTAAGGGAAAATCTTTCATCTTCCTTTGGAAAATCTTGTCAAACTTTTCATTCTGCTCAACAGTCATGTAATTTTTCCAGTCTCCAATGGTACCTAGGAGGAAAAGCAAAGAAATTGCTTCAACAAAGACTCTGGGATGAGAGAGTGTGATCTCCTAGTGTTGGGAGAAGCACCACTGTTTGCACTTCCACTTTCCTTCCCACTAAGGCCCCAGTTGTTCCTGTGCATGACCATGCCCTTCCTCTCCCACCTTATTGCAAGGTGGCACACAAACTCATCATGGTAAATATAATGTACTTTAAGATAACTAGCCCAACTCCACAGCTGTCAGCCACCTGGAAAAGGAGAAATCTCATGCAACTGCTTTACTATTTTGTTCCATGCTAGCATGGGCTATTAGAGTTTACAGAAGTCCTTTAAAATGTTCAAAAATCAGATGTCCTTGGGCAAATGTTTACTGATAAGGATATAGATGCCCAGAGAACTTTCAAAATATAGCCCTTACAGTTTGGAATGGCTCACCTGTAATTATTCCATCTGTATCATAGAAGGTTTACAATAGTTTTACGTTAAACTTATAGACACAGCAGGAGTCAACATGGCAGAGAAGTAGAGGGACCAGAAGTTCACTCAACCCTCAAACACGGCAGTACTGAGGCAAAAAGGCAGGGAATTCCAGGAATCCAGGCTACAGAGTGACAAAAGCATCTCCAGGGGCCCATGGGGACCCATTGGCAGGCCATAGGTGTGTGATTGCAAATTAGGAGAGATAAAATGAGTGGTGTAGGCACAGAGGGGAGGGAATCCTCTTCAATGGAGACACAAAAGGAAGAGAAAGAGAGACTGTGGAAGTGTAGGATTGAATTTGGACAAGAGAAAAACCACAGACCGGGAAACAAAAAATAGAGAAAGAACGAATTCCTATCTCATTCTAGAGTTGTGGGGCTTTGTCTGGACTGGGGTCCACTGCCCTGCTCACACACCTGAGTAGGAGGGGAGCCAGCCCCAGGCTCTTGAGCTGAGAGGCACAGTCAGAGAGAGCAATCCTCTCTCTTTAGTGCTGTGGGAAGAAGTCATATAGCATCCAAGGATAAATGACTCTGCAGGTGCCCCCCACCAGAGGGTACGTTTGTTGGCTGGCTGATGGAGTGGCTCTACCCTGGGACTGGGATGCATGGAGTTGGATCCTTTAAGACATCGGGGTTTGAATCCTAGTTTACCACCTGGGAGTATTACCACCTGCCCACAGGTGAGCAGGGCAAACCGGTGGCTCATGGGACTGGGATGCATGGAATTGGATCCTTTAAGACATTGGGGTTTGAATCCTAGTTTACCACCTGGGAGTATTACCACCTGCCCACAGGTGAGCAGGGCAAACCGGTGGCTCACAGACCTGCTGCACTGTGAGAAGTCAGAGGCCCTTTGTTGGCTGGCTGGGTGGAGTGGCACTTCTTCAGAACTGGACCATGCAGATCAGGATCCTTTAAGACATTGAACAAACCAGCCCACTTGCACCGGCACAGGACTGTGAGGATGACCTGAACAGAGTGGTTTGGGACACCCAGTCTGGTGGGGAGAGAATGGTGTGTCCCATTTCTCTCTCCAACATCAATAAGGTGGGGCTTCAAGGAATGGACAATGGGCCCACAGTGGAGGCAGGACCTGCCTATACCAAAATATGCCCCTCTACACCTGGCAACTGTGTATTTACCGGAGCAAAATTGACACCTAGGGAACCACACAGCCCCTCCTCCAGACCAGCACAGCCACCAGCTCAAAGACAGAAATCAATCCAGTGGTTTTGCATTTTCTGACTTGATTCTTGCTCAATTCTTATTTTATATGTGTATATAATATATACACATATATATACTTATATAGTATATTATATATAATTATATAGTATATTATATATACATATATATGTATATATATAATACATACATATATAATTATATATATATATAATTTTTTCATCTTCCTTTCCTCCTCTTATTCTTTCCCTTCTTTATTCTGGTTATTCTGGTTGTTGGTTTGTTTAAGCAGATTTTTTTTTTAATTTTTAAAAAAAATTATTGTTGAGAGACAGAGAGACAGCACACAAGCAAGGGAAGGGCAAAAAGAGAGGGAGGCACAGAATCTGAAGCAGGCTTCAGGCTCTGAATTGTCAGCACAGAGCTCAACACAGGGCTGGAAACCACAAACCCTGAGATCATAACCTGAGCCATAGTCAGATGCTTAACTGACTGAGGCGCCCAGGAGCCCATGCAGACATTTTTAATCTATTCTTTTTATACATCTTCTTTATCTCCTTTATTCTCCCCCCCCCCCCTCCGTCTCTGGATTAGGCTGTATAGTTTCTCTGATTCTCTGCCTTGTCATTGTTTTTCCTTTTCTTTTTCCCTACCCCTGTCATTTCTATCTTTGTATGGGATAAGGCTTCTTCCTCCACCCCACCCTTTTTAAATTTTTTTTCCACAGTTACTTCAGTGAACAAATCAAAGCACACCTCATGAAAGGTCCAAATCACCACTATGAGTAGGGAGATAAAGCAGCCAGAGACACAACAACAAAGAGCATGAAACACACTCCAAGAACACCTCCTGAAGGGCTAGGCCCTGAACAGTGTATCACTTTTTTTTTTAATATAAAAGAGCTCACAAGTGCAGGACACACTATTAAAACACATACGGGACAGAAAACTAGCCAAAATGAGGAAACTGAAGAATTCTCCTCGGAAGAAATTCCAGGAAGAAATGAGAGCTAGAGAATTGCTCAAAACAGATATAAGCAGTATATCTGAGCAAGAATTTAGAATAATAGTCATAAGATTAGTAGCTGGGCTTCTAAAAAGTATAGAACACAGCAGAGAATCTATTGCTTCAGAGATCAGGGAATTAAGAAATAGTCACAACAAATTAAGAAATGCTGTAAATGAAGTGCATAATAAACTATATGCAGTAAAATCAAGGAGGGAGGAAGAAGAGGGGAGATTAAGTGAAATAAAATTTTTTTAATTTATTTTTGAGAGACTTGTGCTCTGTCTCTCTCACGGAGAGCACAAGTCAGAGAGGGGCAGAGAGAGAATGAGACACAAAATTCAAACAGGCTCCAGCCTCTCTGAGCTGTCAGTACAGAGCCCGACACAGGGCTCAAACTCACAAACAGTGAGATCATGACCTGGGCTGAAGTTGGATGCTTAACAGAAATGAGCCACCCAGGCGCCCCCTTTTTTTCTAATTTTTTAAATATATTTTTGAGAGAGAGAGACAGTAAGTGAAATAGAAGATAAAATTATGGGAAACGATTAAGCTGGGGAAAGAGAGATAATAAAATACTAGACCATGAGGGTAGAATTAGAGAACTAAGTGATTCAATGAAATGTAATAATATCCATATCATAGGACTTCCAGAATAGGAAAAGAGGGAAAGGGGCAGAAGGTTTACTTGAACAAATTATAGCTGATGCCTTCCCTAATTTGGAGGAGGCAGACATCCAAACCCAAGAGGCATAGAGAATTCCCTTCAGATTTAACAAGAATAGGTCTTCTCCAAGGCATATCATAGTGAAAGTGACAAAATATAAGGATAAAGAGAGAATTCTGAAAGCAGCCAGGGACAAACAAGCCTTAACCTACAAGGTTAAAAACATAAGGGTAGTAGCAGACCTATTCACTGAAACTTGGGAGGCCAGAAGGGAGTGGCAGGAAATATTCAATGTACTTAATACAAAAAGTATGCAGTCAAGAATCTTTATCCAGCAAGGCTCTCATTCAAAATAGGAGAGATAAAGTCTTTCTCCGGCAAGCAAAAACTGAAGGAGTTCCTCACCACTAAACCAGCCCTGCAAGAGATCCTAAGGTTGACTGTCATAGATTCTAAGTCTAAAATTCTCTCTCAGCCAGCGAGAGAGTGGACACAGGATTAAAATAGGAGAGAGAGATGGCTAGTGTCCTGACAAGAGCCCTGAATAAGGGTCCTTGCCCGATTTTTATTGGAATCAGAAGGCTTACAAACATGGCAATGGATGTGCACAAAGAGACAATGAATCTGTGAACATTAACTTGTGGATGTGAGGGAAAGAGAGTTTTGAAGATATTCGGGGTTAGGGGTTTGGGTTAATACAAAACAAAATCCTGGCATGGGCAGTCAGGTGAAAGATTGTTTACAGTGGACATGAGGCACCACCTCTGTTTATCTTAGCTAGCCTATGGGATGAGACAGATAGGGGAAATAACCTCAGGGTTAACAAGTCACCTTTTCTTTTGTTAATCATCTCCACTCTGCAGAACAGTGGTCTATAGCCCAATTTACCTATTTACCTAACTTGGTCTTTTCTTCCTGTGAAAGCAGCTTTCTGCTATATTACTAAATTGGGGAGCGCTTTGCTCTAAATACCTAATCTTATTTATTTTAGATACTTATGTATTGGGGGACTTAGCTCCTTCCTACTTTATCCTGGGGCCTGCCCCTCCCACTCTATTCTGGGGGCTCTGCACCCCCTCTCTATTCTAAGGTGCCTTTACACCTCTCTATTCTTGGTTGCCTTATCTTGTTTACCCAAACTTGAGTGTGAGCATCCTATGGCTTTGTATTTCTTTATGCCTTGTTAACCATTGGTATAAGACTGGGGGGTTCCTAAGCTTAAATCCATATTTTTCAATAATAACTGAATGCAAATGGACTAAATGCTCCAATCAAAAGACATAGATAGGGTATCAGAATGGACCAAAAAAAAAAAAAAAAACAAGATCCATTTATATGCTGTCTAAAAGAGACTCATTTTAGAAATGAGGACACTTTCAGATTGAAAGTGAGAGATTAGAGAACCATCTCTCATGCTACTGGAAGTCAAAAGAAAGCTGGAGTAGTCATACTTGTATCAGATAAACTAGATTTTAAACTAAAGGCTTTAACATGAGATGAAGAAGGATATTATATCATAATTATGGTGTCTATCCATCAAGAAGAGCTAACAATTGTAAATGTTTATGCCCCAACTTGGAACACCCAAATATATAAATCAATTAATCACAAACAAAAAACAATCTTATTGGTAAGAATATAGTAATTGGAGGGGACTTTACAGTCAACTTACAGCAATGGACAGATCATCTAGGCATAAAATCAATAAAGAAACAATGGCCTTGAACGATACACTGAACCAGATGGACTTGACAGATATATTCAGAACTTTTCATCCAAAAGCGGCAAAATACACAGTCTTCTCTAGGGCACGTGGAACATTCTCCAAGATCAATCACATACTGGGTCACAAAAAAGCCCTCAATAAATATAAAAGAATTGAGATATCATGCATATTTTCAGATCACAATGCTATGAAACTTGATATCAACCACAAGAAAAATTTGGAAAGCCTCCAAATGCATGGAGGTTAAAGAACATCCCTACTAAAGGATGAATGGGGTCAACCAGGCAATTAAAGAAGAAAATTTAAAATATATGAAAGCAAATGAAGACGAAAACACGACAGCCCAAACCCTTTGGGATGCGGCAAAGGCAGCCCTAAGGGGAAAATACATTGCAATCCAGGCATATCTGAAGAAACAAGAAAAATCCCAAATACAAAACCTAATTGCAGACCTAAAGAAACTAGAAGCAGATGAGCAAAGAAACCCCAAATCCAGTAGGAGAAGAGAAGTAATAAAGATAAGCACAGAAATAAAAAATATAGAATCCAAAAAAGGAGTAAAACAGATCAATTAATCTTTGAAAAAAATAAACAAAATTGATAAATTCCTAGTCAGACTTCTCAAAAAGAAAGGAGAGAGAATGATAAAATCACAAATGAAAGAGGAGAGATCACAACCAACACCACAGAAATAAAACAATTAGAAAATACTATGAAAAATTATATGCCAACAAACTGGACAAACTGGAGGAAATGGACAAATTCCTAGTCACCCATACACAACCAAAACTCAAATGGGAAGATACAGAAAAATTTAACATTCTTAACTAATGAAGAAATTGAATCAGTTAACAAAAATCTCCCAACAAATAAGAGACCTGGGCCAGATGCCTTCCCAGGGGAATTCTACCAGACATTAAAGCAGAATTAATAGCTATCCTTCTCAAGCTGTTCCAAAAAATAGAAACAGAAGGAAAACTCCCACACTCATTCTATGAAGCCAGCATTACCTTGATTCCCAAGCCAAACAAAGACCCCAGAAAAAAGGAGAATTACAGGCCAATATCCCTGATTTCTCAATGAGATACTAGCAAGTGGAATTCAACAATAGATCAATAGAATTATTCACTACAGTCAAGTGGGATTCAATTCCTGGATGGCAGGGCTGGGTCCATACTCACAAATCAATCAATGTGATACATCACATTAGTAGAAGAAAGAATAAGAACTATATGCTTCTGTCAATAGATGCAGAAAAATCATTTGACAAAATATATCATCTTTTCTTTATAAAAACCCTCAAGAAAGTATAAATAGAAGGAAGATACTCCAACATCATAAAAAGGATATATGAAAAACCCACAGATAATATCATCCTCAATGAGAAAAAACCTGAGAGCTTTCCTCCTGATCAGGAATGTGCCAGAGATGTCCACTGACACCACTGTTGTTTAACATAGGGCTGGAAGTCATAGCCACAGCAATCAGACAATAAAATGAAACAAAAGAAGAAGTCAAACTTTCACATTTCACAGGTGACATGATACTCTACATGGAAAACCTAAAAGACTCCACCAAAGAATTGCTAGATGAATTCAGCAAAGTTGCAAGGTACAAAATCAATGTACAGAAATCGGTTGCATTTTTATACACCAATAATGAAGCAACAGAAAGAGAAATCAAGAAACTGATCCCATTCACAATTGCACCAAAAACCATAAAATACCTAGGAATAAACCTAAACAAAGATGTGAAAGAGCTGTGTAATAAAAACTATAGAAAAATTATGAAAGAAATTGAAGAAGACACAAAGAAATGGAAAAATACTCCTTCTTCATTGATTGGAAGAACAAATATTGTTAAAATGTCAATACTACCCAAAGCAATCTACACATTCAATGCATTCCCAATCAAAATTGCACCAGCATTCTTCTCAAAGCTAGAACAAACAATCCTAAAATTTGTATGGAACCACAAAAGACCTCAAATAGCCGAAGTAATGTTGAAAAGGAAAACCAAAGCAAAAGGCATCACAATCCCAGACATTCGCCTCTACTACAAAGCTGTAGTCAACAAGACAGTATGGTATTGACACAGAAACAAGCACATAGACCAATGAAATAAAATAGATAACCCACAAATGTATGGCCAACTAATCTTTGACAAAGCAGAAAAGAGTATCCAATGGAAAAAAGACAGTCACTTTATCAAATGGTGCCGGGAGAACTGGATAGCAACATGCAGAAGAATGAAACTAGGCCACTTTCTTAAACCATACACAAAAATAAACTCAAAATGGATGAAAGAACTAAATGTGAGACAGGAAACCATCAAACCCTAGAGGAGAAAACAGGCAACAACCTTTTTGACCTCAGCTGCATTAATTTCTTGTTCAACACATCTCCAAAGGCAAGGGAATTAAAAGCAAAAATGAACTATTGGGATCTCATCAAGATAAAAACCTCCTGCACTGCAAAGAAAACAATCAACAAGACTGAAAGTCAACCGACAGAATAGGAAAAGATATTTGCAAATAACATCGCATAAAGGGTTAGTACCCAAAATCTATAAAAAAACGTAAGAAACTCCACACCTAAATACAAATAATCCAGTGAAGAAATGGGCAGAAGACATGATACTCTTTTCCGGTGTCTAGTCAAAGAATACATCCAGATGGCCAACAGACATATGAAAGATGCTCAACATCACTTATCATCAGGGAAATACGAATCAAAAACAGGTTGAGATGCCATCTCACATGGTCAGAATGGCTAAAATTAACAACTCGTGAAATAACAGATATTGGCAAGGATGTGAAGAAATGGGAACCCTCTTGCCCTGTTGGTGGGAATGCAAACTGGTGTAGCTGCTCTGGAAAACTGTGTGGAGGTTTCTCAAAATATTAAAAATAGAACTACTCTACAACCTAGCAATAGTACTACTAGGAATTTATCCAAGGGAAAAAGGAGTGCTGATTCATAAAGGCATAGGTACCCCAGGCATAGGTACCCCAGTGTTTATAGTAGTGCTTTCAACAATAGCCGAATTTTGGAAAGAGCCTGAATGTCCATGAACTGATGAATGGATAAAGATGTGGTTTATATACAATGGAATACTACTTGGCAATGAGAAAGAATAAATCCTGCGATTTGGAACAACATGGATGGAACTGGAGGGTATTATGCTATGTGAAATAAGTTAGTCAGAGAAAAGACGTATCATATGTTTTCACTCATATGTGAAACTTGAGAAACTTAACAGAAGACAAAGGGGGAAGGGAATGGGAAAAAATAATTTCAAACAGAGAGGGAGGCAAACCCATAAGAGACTCCTAAATACAGAGACAAATGGAGGGTTGATGGATGGGAGTGAAGTGGGCAGGGAGAGAGGAAAATGGGTGAGCGGCATTGAAGAGGGCACTTGTTGGAATGAGCACTGGGTGTTGTATGTAAGTGAAGAAGCATGGGAATCTATCCCCAAAACCAAGAGCACACTGTATACAATGTATATTAGCTAACTTGATGATAAACTGTATTAAAAAAAACTTACAGGTACAGAGTTGTGATGACAAATAGTGTTGACAGAAGAAGAGGCAAGAAAAGAAACACTAATTGTAAAAGCACTCTGAAATAAACAAATGACTGAAGCAAACTGAAATACTAGTGAAACTGAAAACACGAATGAAAACAGTGTATGAGTGGTAAAGCTAGTGCAAATGATGTTCCTTTAGATAAAATGTAAGAGAAAAGTACATGTCTGTGCATAAAAAGACATATGGGTATATGTTTTACTTCCACAAGGAAGTAAATTTGGCTCCTCCTACCTGTCTTCTTACCTATTTGAGTCTCTCATTTTCAGGTAGGTTAAAGATTTATAAACACAGAAAATTTTCATTTTCCAAAGGAAAACAGATTTCACGTACAATGATAATGGCAATTGAGAAGGATTGTAGCATCTACTACAAAACTGTGTTCTGAGCATAAGAGGAAGGGAATGTCTCCACTTCAGGTTGGCTCTGAGTTACCAGTGTTTCACATTTTTTAATTGAGCAGGTAAAGATATATGAAGATATCAAGTGACAGAAATACTAAGACAAATCAAAGCCAATATTTATTACTACTTGACAAAGAGGCATAGAACCCTATGATTAAGTGCAAATTTTATGTCTATAATTCTGTATTATAGATGTTCCATGTTCTAAGATAGAAGATCATAAGTATAATTTAGAATAATTGTGTAAGTAATAAAAATATTATAACATGGTGGAATGTATCAGTTGTATGAAGGAGTCAATCACTTAAAAACTCAATCATCAGAGGTATGGTATAAATGACAGAAACCTATACATTTTTATGAGGTTTTCTAGAGGATATATGCTGGTCCTGTGCAATAACAAAAGATCAGTGAATGTGTGTTGTTAATTCAGCCCTGGAGGACCTCAGGCATAGATCACAGAAATGGAAGGGCAATCATTGTTGGCCAACAGCCCCACCATTACATCATCATGTGCTGATCCCATGCTATTGGAAGAAAACAGTCTAACAATAAATAAACAACCATTTTGTGGCAGATACTGTGCTAGTATTGGTAGATTTCCAGGGGTCATGGAGAAGGGCTTCTGATTTTAGGTTATTCATTAGATATATTCATTTATAAAATTGTATAGTCTCTTGAAGAGCACCAAGAAAAAATCATGGAAAATCATTTGTCTAGTGAAGGGAACTGGGCCATAAGGGTCAATGTTAGAAAAGTTAGCCAGGAAGCTTAGAAGCTACATCTTGGTTCATTTGTGTCACAGTACAAGACAGGCATTCACTATTCAACCTCACCTTTGCGAAGGAAGTGACCTTTTTCTTCTATCCCAAATTGAACCTTTAGTATATCGTCATAGTTTGCCCGTGGGTCAGACTTCATGTTCTCAAACATGGCCTGTGTCACCACAGCATCCATGTCCTCATCACTTAATTCCTTCTCCAGAAATTTGCAGATTTTTACTATAGAACCTCTGAGATCCTGAAATAAATCACAGTATGATTAATTATGCAGGTTATCACAAAGAAGACTTATATAAGTGTCACAGATTAAATATCATTATGGGAGCGAAAATTGTAGGTGCTTAGGTTGCTGAGAAAGTGGAGTTGTTCCTTGAAATGTAACTTCCCTATTCCTTCTTGATAAATTAATCCATCACTTGTGCACTGTTTGAGAACACATTTGGGTTCATTTTGGAACACTCATATTTCGTTTTATCTGTGTTGACGGCAAGGATTTGGGGAGTAGCTACTAAATTACAGACACTGCCCTGCATGATGGCACAAGTGAATAGAAGCACAACTGGAGATGAATCCTAGGAATTCAGTACAAGGACCTTTGGGAGAGACTAATTGTGTAACAGAATTCAGAGAATATTTCAACAAAGATAAGAAATTTGTTCGGAATTAAAGCAAAAACGGGAATTTTCTAGATAGACAAACTAAAGATATGGAGTCTAGAGAAATTAAAGAATATCTACAACAAAATGGTAGTTGCATGGAAGGTGTGAGATAACAAGTCACAGGACAGTTAGAAGTTCAGTTTCCCTAGAGCTAGTGGAAACAGGCTTTGGATGAGAATATGGGAGATGAAGTTGGAGGCAACCATGGGACCATATCGTGAGGAAGGTTTCAAGGCCAGCCAGATATTGAATCTCTATTTGGTAGGTGATATGGACTCAACAAGAGAGTCTAGGCTTGGTATCATGCCCTGTGGCAGGTGTAACAGACTAGTGACAAATACTTAGGATGGGGAAGCCCTTAGGAGAGCCTGCCTCTCAGCTCTTTCTCATCTTTCCTAATAAGAGTTCACCTGGTGATGTTCTGGCATGAGTGCCCAGCCCTGCTTAAATAATGATTCTGGTTGATCTACGATCTTCAAAGCAATTCTATTGTCTCTACAAGAGATTATTCTAGGTTGATCATATGTCCCAATTTTGACTTTGAAACAGAAAGAGGAAGTCAAGAGGATCCTGGGTGGTTCAGTTGGTTATGTGCCTGACTCTTGACTTCAGCTCAGGTCATGATCTCATGGGTCATGGGATTGAGCCCTGCCTCTGACTCTACACTAACTGATCTGAGCTTGCTTGCGGTTCTCCCTCTCTTTATGCCCCTTTACTGCTCATGCTCTCTTACTCTCTTTCTAAAAATAAATAAATAAACTTTAAAAAAAAAAGAATGAGGAAGTCAAACAAAAGTTACTAAGTATTATTTTTCTGCTAAAGAAAATGTGGAAACAAAGCAGGACAATAAGGCCCCTTTATCCCAGTTCCCTCTTTTTCTGCCTTACATGCTGTCAACTGAGGACACAACTTTGGAGCTACAGCTGTCCTGCTACCATGAGGGGAGATATCCTTGCCACACCAAATAAGATACAAAAGAAAGACAAATAATGCTGAGAAATTCTTGACTACTTAGCAGGAACACTCAGCATAAGGGTAACCTTTCTCTGAATCCCACCTATATACATACACATAATTCCTCACACACAGACAATTTTTGAAAAGAAACTTCCTATATTAGTTGTAAATTAAAACCTGGTAAACAAGGGAAAGAAATGATACTGGAAAACTCCCAGACATTTAATCTGAGATATCAAATTTGATATCATCCTTGGGTGTTCTGGGCATGAACAATCAATTCATTCATCCCGGCTGGCTTACAAGTTGAGTGAAGTCACTAATGTCACGTTTCTCACCTTCTTCATCTCCTCATACATCATGAACTCAATGTTGAAGAGGTTTTTGTGCTTGTACCAACCTTTGATGTGGTCAAACCAAAGGCTTCCCATCACTGCAAGGAGAATAGATAGTCATTAAGTAAATATGTTGAACACGTTGAAAATGAGCTACAGTCTTAGGAGATACAGGAATCTTTTTTTTTTTTTTTTTCTGAGAGAGAGAGACAGTGGCAGGGTCAGAGAGAGAGGGAGTCACAGAATCTGAAACAGGCTCCAGGCTCTGAGCTAGCTGTCAGCACAGAGCCCGACTCGGGGCTCAAACCCACAAACCGTGAGATCATGACCTGAGCTGAAGTCGGACGCTCAACCGACTGAGCCACCCAGGTGCCCCAGGAGATACAGGAATATTAAGTAACAAAGAAGGGAAAGGAAGTGTGCTGCTAGAATCCTGATTTCCCCTAGCACCCCTTGTTATAGAAGAGCCATCAAGCCTCTACCACAAAGCAATTACATGAACTCAAAGAGAAATTAGCCTCTTAAAATAGACACAAAATCAACATTCCATGTGGTTAGAAAATCCAAGAAGGAAAATGGAGGAAGGAATCCTCTCTTTCTCATCCCTCCTGGTCTTCCCAAACCCATAGACCTTTTTCTTGGCTACATGGAACAAGGGCCCCCTGAGGAGTGACTTCAGCTCTGCACAGTGCATTTGACACTAAACATAGCTCCCCTGTTCCGGGTCATCATCTCTACTTCAAAGGACTGGCTCCTGCTCAACCAGCGACAGTGGCTCCTTGGAAAAGAATGTGGGGGAGGGCTCCTGGCTTGCTTAGAGTGTACAACTTTTGATCTCAGGGTTGTGAGTTGGAGCCCCATGTTGGGTGTAGAGATTACTTTAAAAAATAAATAAAACTTGCACCCGAATGGCTCAGTTGGTTAAGCATCCCACTTCAGCTCACATGATCTCATGGTTTGCGAGTTGGAACGTCGCATCAGGTTATCTGCTGTCAGCACAGAGCCGGCTTGGGATCCTCTGTCTCCCTGTCTCTGCTCCTCTCCCACTAGCGTGTGCTTCCTTTCTCTCTCTAAAATATTTTTTTAAATAAGTATATAAAATTTAATGAAAAAGAAACGAATGTGGAACAGAACTTTATCAAATAGAAGCTCCTGGGAGGAGCCACTTGCAAAAAGCTCCAGACCTGTGATCTGAACTGAGATTTTTCTCACTGAGCTAGAACAGAAGTCCCTGTGTTTATGATTCAATCTTTTCATGGTTAAATGTAAATATTCCTTGGTGATAGGACTTTGTAATCTTGACAGTCCCCTGACAAGGAGCCAGGGGAAGCATATTTGTAACAATGGCAGGTCATTCATGGTCATCTAGGAAAACCCTACCAATGGCTTAATATATTGATTACTCACCCACATTCAGCTCTACTTCAGCTTCCTTTTTACCCTCTACCAAATTCACAAAGCTTAAACCTCATCACAGGACAGCAAACTTATTACTTACTTTATGTAAGCTTATTTACCTCTTCCTTCTAGAAATAGTTTCATGAATTCCTCAATGGTACTTGTAACAGGTAATGGCATCTTCTTTGAAAAGTGAAAATATGAGCACATAATGTCCTTAGGGTTTCTGTATACATAAATAATCTGCAAAGAAAGGAAGTATTCATTATTTCTTTTGCTTTCACTATGTCATATTTTTAATACCTTCCAATTGGATGAGCCTATTTTTTCCTAACCATGTCATGTATACATTCAGCCTTCTTTGTATTTGGGGTGCCCCCTTCTCCGCAATGCTTCTTCTTCCATGATTGGCCTAGTGGCTCTCAATTACTCCTCAGGACACACTTCTATCCATGTTACCCAACCAAACTAGGTGGAAGTATAAAAAAGGTAGCTGTGAGGACACTGAGAGCAATAAAGGAATTCCTAGTATTTTAAGTGCACCTAGTAAGTAAGCTAATTTAAAAAATGAAAGGATATATAATATAAAATGTGTATCATAATTTACATTATAAAGTTAATTAAATGCACACACATATACCCTTTCATTTTTAATGGTTGTATTACATATGTGATCAGAAAACAAAGGTACAAGATAAAAATCAGATTCTCTACAAAAAGAACAAAATGGCTATTGAAAATTAAAGTATGTCAAATGCTACATTTGCTACAGCTTGATGAGTGGTGTGTCAATATAATGAAAGGAAATGGAATAATGGAAAAGAGCAGGTATCTTTCAGCAGCCATAGCCTCTTTCTTACTTTGGCTTTTTTGTTCTTCAATCCACTTGGAACCAAGTAGTATGGGAGGTGAGTAGAAAAGAGACGAGGAGATGGCATTTTTAAAAAATCCATAATTTGATTAGAGTACTCGAAAAAGGGAACTTGAAAATCTGTCTCCAGATTTCCAGTGTTTTTTCGATATTCTTCAAAATAAATCAATTTTAGTATCTGTTGAAGCCATATGGTTCCTGGAAAATAATTATTTTCATTTTCAGTGATGAACAAATTTCTCCAAAATACAGATAGAAGTGCCATCTATATTTTAATAAAAGTTTGTCAGTATAACATATATAATGGTAATTTCATCAGAATGGAATTTTTAACATATTAAAAATGCAGTATGGGTAAAAGAAAACAAGCATTTTCTTTATTTTTCCCTTTAAGGAGATGCTACATTTGAAATGCTGTGTGCACTTGTCACATAATTGATTCTTTGAGTCTTCTGCACTTTCTTCTGCTTTATATATGGGACTTTTAAATTATCTTCTATACCTGTCTCTAGATTTCCTTCCACAAGCCCATTGATAGGACTTTAGATAATATACCCCAAAAAAACTAGAAATTCGACTGAAGGAGTCACTTTCCATCTTTCCCCTTTCCTCCTCTTTCCCCTTTCCCATGTTTCCTACTGTGCCATCATGGGCACAGTAGGAAAATAATGTCCATTATAAATCCCTAAGGGAAGCCCTGTGACCCACATGGAGACAGGAACACATGCCTGAAGTTGGGCCTTTCACTGTATGTGGGATGTGACAAATTTTTCTGATGACTAATTCTCTTAATTGTAATTAAAAAAGACATTTGTCTCAGGATATTTGGGTGTAATTGCCTGCTTTAGATTTCCTACACTTCATTTGCATGATTCATATAAATATTAAGATTAAAGATATAAGACTAAAACATTCCTTCTATAAAGATCATGGTTCAGATATATCCAGGCAATGTTCTCAAAAAAAAAAAAAACTTACCCAACTAAAAGTCACAAGTCCCAGAAAGGTTCAAATTATTTTCTGAAATGAGAAAAACCACTGGCCCCTCATCAGTTCCCATCCTAGCCTCTCTTCCCAACACCATCCAATCACCCATGCTCTAAGCAGCAGCCCCTGCCTCAGCAGCAAGACCAATTTGGGGCACAGAGGCCTTGCTGGCAGGTGCAGGTGGCGTGCATCTTATCTGGTCATCCCAGTATCTTCATATTGGTGGTGTTGCTCCTCCAGTGTTGCCTAAGGAAGACAACGACCACATGTGTCTACATGTTACCACAGCTGGTAACTCAATGAGTTCAAACTCATGAAAACTCCTTGTTATAAAGCTCTGAAAGGTTTCTAACATCCTTTCACCTTCCCCAGATAACAGATACTGCTTCTGCAGGAGGAATCACAGCTTTAGAAGGGCTGACAGGTTTTCAATCATGGCACAATTCTGCAGAGATTCAACAATATGATGTAAAAATCTCTGCAGAGATTCAAAAATTCAAATATCTGTTTTCAACTTCTTCTCCCACTCCCCCTTTCACACTTTGCCCAATTTGTCTCTTTCTCCCTTTCTTCCTTTCTTCGTTCATTTGTTCATACCTTCTTTCCTTCCTTTTTTTTCCTTGGCCTATTTGGTAGTTGGATGTAAGTGTAATAAAATACGAATCATTTTCTTCGGTTCATGCTATAGTAATAACATTGATTCACTGCAGGTCCCGTCTCATCTGTTTATCCCTTTATTCTCATTTGCTGCTTCAATTCCTACTACTACCACCACCATAGACAAACAGGCATTTGGGTTTAGAGTCCATTCCTCATTGGAAAGTGTTCTTATGGAACGTGTATTGTTCTATGTGTTTCTATTTTCTACTCCATGAAGGGTAACTGTCTCTATCAGTAAAACCCAGAGGATCCTCATGCCAAGCTTTCCTGCTTCTGGGCCTCTGCCTTTCTTCACAGGAGTACTTCTATACCCCCCAAGCTCCACCCTGGTGATGATGAAGACTTCTAAAACTTTAGACTTTGAGCTCTGTAGCTTGTAAAAACTTGTGACAATCAGCCCATCTCATTTTGCCTGTTAGTGGCTTTGGGGAAGTGTCTTCTTGTGCAATGCCCTACACTTGCCCTTTCTCTCTTTCTCTTCTCTCTGTCTCTCTCTCTCTCCCCCTAATCAGGGCTCCCTCCCCTCTGCAGTACCAGCAATACTTTTCTTGCCCAAATCACATTTCCACATCTCCTACCTTACATGACATGGCTTCTTTTCTCCCTATAGTTGTACAATTTGTTCACTCAGTCCTCAGAACAATTTCCTGGGTGTTCAGAAGGATTTTATATTTATCTAGTTGTGTTCAAGAAATGAGGCAAGCATGGGTTCTTCTCCTATTCCAGCACCTTAACCCCAGAAAGCCACCTGTATTTTCTTCTTTGGACATTTATTTAACAGGTTTTTTTTTTAACCACTACTAGGTCACAGTGATCTTCTTCTATGTTTTTATAATAGAAATAATTGTATAGTTTTATCTTTAATCTTACTGTCTTAGTACACTTGAAGTTCATTCTTTTATGTGGTGTTAGGGATCCAGCTATATTTTCAGCATATAGTGATCCAGATTTCCCAACATTATATATACTATCCTTTCCCCATTAATAGATGGGCATGCTCAAGTTTATATTGAATCCTCCTATACAAAAGGAATGGCATTTCAGGTCTTTCCTCTTAGCCTACCTTACATGTTCTTGTGCAGATAATAAACTATTTTCCCAAACTATGGCCATGTAATAAATAAATTAAATGTGCAAATATGTGGTATATTTTAAGGTGATATATATCATATTGTGGAGAGAAATTAGAGCAGCAAAAAAGATTGTGAGTTTTTCAGTGGTGCTGAATTTTTAAATATCACACAAATGTTATCATGAGAATATAATTTTTAAGTATTTTTTAATGTTTATTTATTTTTCAGAGCAAGATAGTGTGAGCAGAAGAGCAGAGAGAGATGGGGGTGGGGGCAGAGGTTCCAAAGCAGGCCCTGTGCTGACAGCAGAGCCAGATGTGGGGCTCGAACTCACTAACTGTGAGATCATGACCTGAGCTGAGTCAGACACTTAACTGATTTTGTCATTCAGGTGCCCCAAGAATATAATCTAAAAATATTTTTATGCTTTTTAAATTTATTTTTGAGACAGAGAGAAAGCATGAGCTAGGGAGGGGCAGAGAGAGGGGGAGACTGGAACCAAACAGACTCTGTGCTGACAACAGAGAGCCTGATGTGGGGCTCAAACCCATGATCAATGAGATCATGACCTGAGCTGAAGTCAGACACTTGGCTAACTGAGCCACCCATGCATTCCAAATATAATTTTTAAATAAGGACTCAAAGGAAGGAAGAAAGTAATTAATGCATATATCTGGAGAGAGAGCATTACAGGGTAGAGAATCTATTGAGTGAAAGGAGCCTAAGGCAGGAACATGTTTGTTATATGGAGGAAGAGGTAAGAAAAACATTGTTACTCAGGCAAAAATACTAAAACTGTTTTTTAGGGGCAACTGAGTGGCTCAGTTGCTTATGCATGCAGCTCTAAATTTTGTATCATATCATGAACTGATGGTTTGTGACAACAGGCCCTGCCTTGGGCTCTGCGCTGACAGCATGGAGTCTGCTTGGGATTCTCTCTCTGCCTCTTGCCCCCCTTCTCTCTCTCTCTAAACAAGTAAATAAACTTTAAAATCAACTATCTTTTTCTAACAAGTTAGAAAGAATTAATGTAAATCCTTCACTATCTCTTAATAAAAGCACACACACAAAGAGAAAACCTTCCAAGCTCATTTTTCAAGGCCTAAAACAGTTGATAAAAGCTAGACAAAGACACTACAAGAAAGCAGCATTAGAGGCCATTACCTTGATGAGCATACATGCAAAAATCCCTCTCAACATATTAGCATACTGTTGAGTTCAATAATAATTTAAAAGGATCATCCACCATTATCAAGTACAGTTTAATCCAGGGACACAGGATGGTTCAGAATACCCAAATCAGGATGATACACTGCATTAACAAAATGAACTATAAAACCCATATTCTCATCGCAGTCGATGCAGAAAAAGCATTTGACAAAACTAAACATCAATTTAATATAAAAAGTCTCAACAAGATGGGTATGGGAGATGTCAGCTTACAAAAGAACATTTATGACAAACTCACAGCTACCATCATATCCAATGGCAAATAACTGAAAGGTTTTCACCTAAGATCACAACCAGGACAAGAGTGCCCATTCTCACTTTTTTTAAATTGGAAATCTTAGAGAGACAATTAGGGAAGAAAAAGAAATAAAAGTTATTGAAGTTTGAAAGGAAGAAAAAACTGTCTCTATTTGCAGATGATAATTATATTATACATAGAAAGTCCTAAAGACTATACCAAAAATAATGTTAAAACAATAAATGAGGGGCGCCTGGGAGGCTCAGTTGTTTAGCATCTGACTTCAGCTCAGGTCATGATCTCATAGTTCGTGGGTTCGAGCCCTGCGTCGGGCTCTGTGCTGACAGCTAGCTAAGAGCCTGGAGCCTGCTTCACATTCTGTATCTCCCTCTCTCTCTGACCCTCCCCTGCTCATGCTGTGTCTCTCTCTCAGAAATAAATAAACACATTAAAAAATTTTTAAAAACAATAAATGAATTCCATTAAGTTGTTAAGTTGCAAGATATGAAATCACTATACAAACGTGTTGCATTTCTATATACTAACAACAAACTGTCAGAAAGAGAAATTAAGAAACATCCTATTTATAATAGCATCAAAAGGAATAAAATATGTAGGACTATATTTATCCAAGGAAATAAAAGACTTGTACATTGAAAACTAGAAGACACTGCTAAAAGAAATTTTTGAAAAACACAAATAATTGAAAAGACATTCCATACTCATGGATTAGAAGGAACAGTATTGCAGGGCATCTGGGTGGCTCAGTCGGTTAAGTGTCCGACTTCAGACCAGGTCATGATATCCCGGTTCGTGAATTCTAGCCCTACATCAGGCTCTGTGCTGACAGCTCGGGAACCTGGAGCCTACTTCAGATTCTGTGTCTCCCTCTCTCTCTGCCCCTCCTCTACTTGTGCTCTGTCTCTCAAAAATAAATAAAAACAAAAAAAAAAATTAAAAAGGAAGAAACAACGTTGTTAATATGCCCATACTACACAAATGAATCTACAGATTCAATGTAATCCCTTTCAACATTACAATGGCATTTATCACAGAAGTAGAACAGAAAATCCTAAAATAAGACAAATTTGTCCAAAATTTGCATAGGAGGCCCCAAATAGCCATAGCAACTTGGAGAAAATAGAACAAAGTCTAGCACATCAAACTTCTTGGTTTCAAATAATATTACCAAGTTACACTAAATAACAATAGTATGATATTGACATAAAAAAGATGTATTGATCAGCAGAACAAAATAGAGAGCCCAGAAGTAAGCCAACACATGTGTGGTCAATTAGGAACTAAAAATATACAATAGGGATAGTACAGACTCTTCAATAATGGTGTTGGAAAAAATTAGACAGCCACATGCAAAAAAAAAAAATCTCAATCACTCTCTTAAAATACACACAAAAGTTACTCAACAGATTAAAGATGTGAATGTAAGACCTGGACACATTAGACTCCTAGAACAATACATAGGATTAAGACTTTGGTCTCAGCAATGGTTTTTTATGAAGTGGGGATGTGCTACCAAAAACAAATGCACCAAATACAAAAATAAGCAAGTAGGAAATAATCAAACTAAGAAGCTTCTGTACAGCAAAGAAAACTAACAGCAAATGAAAAGGCAACCGATTGAATGGGAAATTACTTGTAAATTGTTTATCAAATTGTAAGGCCACAAGTCTAAACGTCTAAACCAAACTGACTCCATGACAGGCTTTAAGTTTCCCCTCTAAACTAGAAGGCCTGAGTTTCGGCTTCCCCCGAAACTATCAGGTAGTTACACATTGCCCAAGGCAGGAGTAACCACCCTTGCAACACCCAATCAGGAAAGGCCAGCGACCACCCTCCACATTGTTAAGGGAGAGGCCTGGAGATAGAAACTATAGATAGGACCCTGTTACCTAATGTTAAAGTTAACCTGTTAGTCGCCAAACAAGACCCTAGGCTCGCTCTGTGATTGGTTGAATTTAAAGGTACTCTAAACGTTGTAATTGGATCCCGCCAAAAGTAACGAATATTCTAAGCAATGTGTATGGCTAAATCTGCTGTCAATGATGTTGTATAATTATGATTGGATCACTGTTCCCATGTCACAACTTCTGTAAATACCCCATCACAAACCCCATAAAAACCCTACTCTGCCCTTGTTGGAGGCTCTCAGCACGGACCCATTTGCTGGTGAAGTCTGTGAGCCCGAGCTTAAGCCCGTAATAAAGCCCTTTGCCTTTGCATGCGTGACTCGGTCTCCCTGGTGGTCTCTGGTCGATGAGGATACTCTGATCTGGGTATAACAAAATGAGGAATTGATATACAAAATATATCAAGAACTCATACAGCACAATATAATAAATAACAATAATCTAACTAAAACAAGGGCAAATGATTTGAATAGACATGTATTTATATACACACACAGATATGTGTATATATACACATGTATATATTTTTTAGTCTGATCTGAGTGCTAAAACAAAGTATGATCCAAGTAAAGGTGATTACTACACATTATGGTACTTAACATAAGTTAATTTTCTTTTTTCTCATGCACTTAACTATTAAATATAGCTTCAACTATGTGGGGAATACATTTAGGAATTCCCTGAGCTTGCACCAATGGATTAACAAGGCTTAAGATGAAAGCTTCCAGAATCGGTAAACAGGGTGAAAGCACTCCCAACATAAAACAAAAGCCTAGAGCAGGAAGCTGCTTCCACAGGACAAAAGCATCCAGAACAGGTAAACAGGTAAACAGGGTGATTGACAGCTGCCTGGAGCTATTTAGCAAAAGAAAGGTGCGTTGTGGATTCTGAGGTAGCATCCTCTACCTGTCATGTCCCCTAGGAATTTAAGATAAACAGACAGGACCTCTGCTGTTTGCCTTAAACAACCATCTGCTCAGCACTGCGATTTTGTTCTGTATTGGCCCAAACTTCTGACACTGCATATCTTTGAAACCCCCTTCTTTCACACACATGAGTTAATGATCACTGTTTCATTGTCTCTTTCTGCATGTCCATCACATTTGTAAACCTTCCTAATAAATATGGAGCAAGGACCCTTATTGGAGACTCTTGTCTCCTCTTGGACATTAGCCTCTCTCATACTTAATTATGTGTCTGCTCTCTTGCTAGACAAGAGAGAACTTCAGACTCAAAGTCTGTGAAAAAGACTTTGTCTGAAGTAACTACCTAAATGGTAAATATTCCTGCATCATTTCCCAGCCTACATCAGCAATTTAGTGGGGTTTTTTTTAAATATTTTATTTATTTTTGAGAGAGAGAGAGACAGCACAAGCAGGGGAGAGTTAGAGGGAGAGGGAGACACAGAATCCGAAGAGAGGCTCCCAGCTCTGAGCTAGCTGTCAGCACAAAGCCCAGTGTGGGGCTTGAACCCATGAACCGCGAGATCATGACCTGAGCCTAAGTCAGATGCTTAACAGACTGAGCCACCCAGGCGCCCGAGCAATTTAGTGTTTGACAGGCCATCTTTAATCTATCTACCTCAACATTTTCTCCATTTCTTTGACCAAATAAAAAATAAGTTACAGCAACACTATAAAAGACATTATTTCATAAGATATTAAATTCAGTTAACTCTATAATATACAATAGATTAATGTATATGTCTATATATAATATTAGTAAAAAGACTGAGTTACCATATTATAAAAAGTTATCATTTTATTCTTAGATTAGCTATTAGAATACAGAACTCACCAGATTTGGGATATGTGACTAGGAAGATATCATCTTCTCTGGTTTCAAAATCTTTTAATGTTTCTATAAAGTCAGTATCAATATTTATATTATGAAAATAATATCCTTCAAATTTGAATAACCTTGAGTCTGGGTCTTCCATGTTTCAGTTGCCTGTTAAGACATAAAAAAATATTTGAAAGAAATTTAGTAAAATTTTATGTCATCTTCCCTTCTGTATCTTCACTTATTGGTCATATACTAAGAGATGGAAATGATTTCCTCTCTTCTCCACAAACACAGACAACCGCAGATTCTAAAAGCTACTATCCTGGATTCAAGATGTGTGGAGTTTGGCCCAATGCCCAGGAGCCAGTTGTTCATGGCTGGGTCTTAGTTTTATGTGTGTGTGTGCTCCATTTACGTAGCTACAGAGAAAATAGTTTAAAAATTAATATGTAATTTAAAAATATTTTTAACCAGAAATCATACATAATATATGTGCATATGCATAGCTATATAAACAGTAAAAATGACTATACAAATTGGACTTTAATGGGCTTTAGAAACATTTGTTTTCTGTCTGTTTATCTGCAGCTGGATTTTTCCCCCCCTGGAAATGAAGTACAATGTTTTAGCTTTTAGCAGGTTTATAGACATTTTCTCTCTATACTTTCTGGGTGTGAGCTATCTATTCATAAGGTTTTTGGTAACTTGTACTTTAAATTTTGTTTTATTTTCTAAATTGCGACTTGTTTAGAGTAATTGGGAATGTACAAGTATGAACTAACAGACATGAATGTATTCCAGGATGCCTGAGAAATTGCGTGTGAGCAATTAAATTGTCCATAATACCAAATGGACAATGGCACAAATTATGAAAGAAAACATTCAAATTATGGATCTTATGTAGACAGTGCAAATTAAACTTTGTGATTCATCAATATATTTTTCCTTCCATTATTTATTATCAATCAGCAGCCTTATGAGAAAATCTATTTTGATACTATGAACTTTGAGGTTTTAATTGACTTGAGGGTTCTTCCAGATGACCCTGAAGTGTCCTTTTTTTCTATTTCTCATAACAATTGGTCATAGGAAGAGCTGACAAAAAAAGAGCTTCAGAATTTGAAAGCAATTCCAGGAAGCCTAGGCCAAAGGTCATTAAAGGAAAAAGGAAAATAAGTAATTTTTTAGAAATATATTTTGATAGGCACACTGTTACTGGAAAAACTAGGATTGATGGTGTTTATTTACAAAGGAGACTTATGAAAGCTGCACATTAGTTGGAATCATCAACATGAATTCACATGTAGAGAAGAAGGTCAGAGACCAGATAAGGAAAGATGGAGGAAGAGAGAGGAGGTAAATTAGTCTGTCACTAGAGTTATTTAAGACATCTCTTCTTTGCCATCTTGGGTTCAAAGAAACAACCTAACTGCCACCTCCATACCCGTTGGGCTCTACTAATAACCCAGTTTAAAGAAGCAGTGGCTCCCTAAGCGTAGCCAATTCCTTGTCTTGGGATCAAAACCGTAACAATGAGCCTGTAACATCTTGATCTTTTCATAAAGTAAACATAATTTTATCATCTTATATTCTACTTATATTAGATCCTAGTATAATTACTATCATGGTGAGTTATATTTTTCTTTTAGTATATGTTGCTAAATCTCTAAATAAATATTTAAAATAATATAATGGTTCAGTTTATTGAAAGTCAAAGCAAAGAGTTACCTTATATTTTTATTTCATACATAAGAGCTGATAGCTCACATACATTTTTAGCCTAGTGTTTAGAACATCGCCAAATACCTGAAACTGCATAAATAGTACAGTTCAGACAAGAGAAAAGAAGCAGACTATGTCACCCCTAAAATTACGAATTTTGCATTTGAATTTTTTTAGCTGAAAGCAATTAAGAATAAGCTGACATATAAGCCTTTTTATATTTTCCTTAAGTTCCTAAAAGAATCTAGATGGATGCCTGTACCATGAAGAAAGCTACTCCTACATATAACTTTTTCATTCTGAAATTCCGACCACATGGCAGAAAACACACCTGTTAACCAAAAGTGAGCTCTTCTCAATTTCCTGTGAATTGTTTCCCCCTCTTTGAATTCCCTACTCTTTGACCTCATTCTTCTTAGCTTATGATGGTATATAAGCCTCAATTGTCATATTGTTTTGGACTCTTTATGCCTTTGTGGAGCTCCCATACATATGTGATTAAATTTGTCTACTGTTAACCTGCTTTATGTCATTTTATTAGACCATCCAAAGAATCTTGAATGGAGAAGGGAAAAGATTTTCACCCCCAATAAAGAATAAATAAACTCATTGTACTAGGTCATTGAAATGAAGAGTTAACTTCTGAAATAAAAGCCAGTGAGAAGAATAATTGTGTTGCTGATGATGGAGAAAGACACAAATACGACTACATTTTCCATAAGGAGATTTAATGATTCAACAGTTAGCAGAACTCTCAGAATCAGGAACTCATTAAGAGGGAGGGATTAGGCTGATACTGGCCAGTAAATCATCCAATAATCTACTGAAAAGCATTGATGCATTTCTCAAAAATAATGGATGGCAAATGGTTCAAGCAGGTTGGTGCTATTCAGAGATATTGGACAGGGATCAAAGTCTCTGCTTTTGAAATACACCAGAAAATAAGGATGTATTTGTTTGTTGTCCCACTCACAATACTCTAATGTCCATAGATAAGGAGTACAATTATTGAGTTGCTTCTACTTCAATGGTACTACTATTGGTGTCTTTAAATCATTGTGTTGTTTCTTATTAAACAGAATTGAGAATATGTGTTGAGAAGTTGAGAGAAGAAATCTATATCTGCAAGGAGTCAATACAATGTTTTGAAGGATTAGACACTTTCCTCAATTCTGTTTTTTTAATTTTTTAAATGTTTATTTATTTTTGGGAGAGAGACAGAGTGTGAGTGGGGAAGGGGCAGAAAGAGAGGGAGACACAGAATTCAAAGCAGGCTCCAGACTCCTAGCTGTCAGCACAGAGGCCCATGCGGGCTCAAACTCACAAACCATGAGATCATGACCTGAGCCCAAGTCTGTTGGTTAACTGACTGAGCCACTCACGTGCCCCACACTTTCTCCAATTCTAGTATATGCTTGACACAAATGTAATACTCATTTAAGTACCAATCATCATTTATCTGCCATTACCCTCTTAGTGTAGTCACTGTTGGCAAGGTGTTCATACCACTGTATCACAGAGGGAATGATGTGTCCTGAAGTTCACTCTTCAAGTACAGTTTTGTGACCTGTTTTTCATGGTTTCCATGCTCCATCCAGTTTGTGGTTTAAAGAGAATGGCCATAAAGGGTAAACACTCTAATTCATAAGAATTTGCTTTAGTAAATTACTATACAAAACAAACAAACAGATAAATACAAATAAAACAATGCCAAAAAGCAGAACAACCACTTCTTGGACAAATCAAAATCCAGAGAATGTATTATCAAAGAATTTCCATTTTCCACAAAAAGTACAATGTTCTAAAAAACAGGAAAGTGTAACACATATTCGGGGGGGGGGAGAGAAATTAATAAAAACTGTCTCTGAATGGACCCACATGCTGGATTAGCAAGCAAAACAGCTATAAAAAATATGTGCATTTGTGAGTTCCAAGATCTAGACTACAAATTTGATCTGACAGAAAAAAAGAATCATGGAACATGAAGACAGATCCATAGAGAAAAGAATGAAAAGGAGAGAAAAACAATGAAGAAAAGTGAACATAGCCTCAGGGAACTGTAGAATATATCAAACATAGCAACATAGGTAACAGAAGGAGAGAAAAGAGCAAAAATAAATCTTTGGAGAAATTGTGGCCAAGAACTTCCCAAGTTTGATGAAAAATGTTAATTTGCACATTAATGAAGCTCAACTAATAAGTAAGATAAACATGAATAGGTGTAAACTACACATATCACAGTTAAACACTGAAACATAAGTTTTAGGATTGTTTCCTTTAGTTTTGTGAGGCATGCTTTTGCTAGTTTGATTAAAATTATGTTGAAAATGTAGATGCTTGTGGGTAGTATGGACCTTTAATGAGATTAATTCAAATCCACAAACACAAGATGTCTTTCCATTTGTTTGTGTCTTTTTTTATTTCTTTCAGCAAAATCATGCGCTTTTCATTGTACAGGTCTTTGGTTCCCTGGTTAAATTTACTAAGATTTTATTGTTTTTGATGCTACTATGAATGAGATATTTCTTCTTTATTTCTTTTTCAAGTGTTTTATTATTACTGTAAAGGAATTAAACTGATGTTTCTATATCAATTTTGTATTCTGCAACTTCGATTGTTGATTAGTCTCAACACCTTTATGATTGATTCTTTAAGATGTTCTACATATAAAATCATATCTTCTGCAAAGAGTGACTATTGTATTTCTTTCTGATTTGAATGCCTTTTATTTCTATGTCTTGCCTAATGACTCTAGTTAAGACTTCTAGTACCACAGGAGAGTTGAGAGTGAGCATCTGTGTTTTGCTTTTGATCTTATAGTAAACAGACTGAGATTTGCATGCAGACTGGGAAGGATAACACCTGTGATGGAGTGAAGGCAAGTGCTCTGGGCAGAGGGAGAAGTTGAACTGCAATGCAATAGCTTTGGGTAATATAGATATTTAATGAAATTAATTCTTCAAGTCTACAAACATGAGATGTGTTTCCGTTTGCTAACGTCTTCTTTGATTTCTTTCAGCAAAGTCTTGTAGTTATCACTGTACAGGTCTTTCTCTTCCCTAGTGAAAGTTACTAAGATTCTGTTTTGTTTTGCTTTGCTTTTGATGCCTAGAATGAATGAGATACTTTTCTTTATTTCTTTTTCAGTTGTCTCATTATTACTGTAATGGAATGAAACTGATTTCTATATATCGATATCCTACAGTTTTACTCAGATTGTTGACTAGTCTCAACAGTTTTATGACTGATTCTTTGGGATTTTTCTATATATAAAATCATATCTTCTGCAAAGAATAACTTTTATTTCTTTCTGATTTAGATGCCTTTTATTTCTATGTCTTGCCTAATTGCTCTAGGTGGGACTTCTAGTACTACAGGTGAGGTGAAAGGGGGCATCCATGTCATGCCCCAGATCTTAGAGGAAAACTTTCAACCTTTCACTATTGAATATGATATTGGCCGGGGCCATCATATATAGTCCTTATTATTTGAGATACAATCCTTTTCTACTTAATCTCTTAAGAGTTTTTATCATGAAAGGATGCTGTGTGTTATCAGTTGCATTTTCTATCTAGTGAAATGATCATGGTATTATCTTTTATTTTATTGATATATTACTTATTGAGTTGTGTGGGTTGAAGAAAACTTGCATCCCAGAGACAAATCCCACCTGGTCCAGGTGTATAATATGTTAATGTGTTCATTTTTTTTAATGTTTTATTTATTTTTGAGAGAGAGAGACAGTGTGAGCAGGAGAGGGTCAGAGAGAGAGGGAGACACAGAATCTGAAACAGGCTCCAGGCTCTGAGCTGGCTGTCAGCACAGAGCCTGATGCACGACTGAACCCACAACGTGAGATCATGACCTGAGGTGAAGTCGGACGCTCAACCGACTGAGCTACCCAGGCGCCCCGATGTTAATGTGTTCTTGAATTTGGTTTGCTTATTGGTTGAGAATTTTTCCATTAAGGACATTGGCCTATAATTTTCTCTTCTTGAGGTGTCCTTATCTTGTTTTGGGGCGAGGGTAACACTAGCTCCCCAAAATGAGACTGGAAGCATGTCCTCTTCTTTGATATTATGCAAGAGTTTATGGCAGATCGCTGTTTCTTTATATGTTTGGTAGAATTTACCTCTATTGGCATCTAATCCTGGGGTTTTTTGTTTTCTTTATTTTTTTTTTAAGGTTGATTACCGATTCAATGTCTTTACTTTTCATTTGTCTGTTCACATTTTTTATTTTTTCTTGATTCAGTCTGGATAGGCAGTGTGTGTCTATAAATGCATCCATTTCTTCAAGGCTATGTAATTTACTGGCATATAATTGTTCACAGCAGTCTCTTACACTCCCATGTATTGTTATAGTGTCAACTATAATGTCTCCTCTTCATTATTAATTTTATTTGAAGCATCTCTCTTTTGTTCTCAGCTAGTCTAGCTAAAGTTTTGAAATTTGGTTGATCTTTCAAGAACCAGAGCTTAGTGTTGTTTTTTTCTTTTTATTGTTTTCCTGGTACACATTTTATTTATTTCTGCTCTGGTCTCTGGTCTTTATTATTTTCTTCCTTCTTCTAACTTTGGGCTTAACTTCTCTAGGTCCTCAAGCTGTAAAATTAGTCTATTTGATGTCTTTCTAATGTTTTTGATATATGATAGTTGTTATTAAATTTACATTCAGAACAGTTTTTTCTGCATCTCATAAGATTTGATATGTTGCTTAAAAAGAGATTTCATGTGTTTTATTTCTGCTTCATTTGTTTTGAGGTAATGTTTTATTTCCCTTTTGATTTGTTTTTGATTTATTCATTACTCAGAAGGGTGTTGTTCAGTTCCCATATACCTGTGAATCTTTTAAGTTTCTTACTGTCAGTTTCATACATAGTCAGAGAAGATAGTCTGAAATTTTCTATGATTTCTTTTTGTCCTATTATATAACCTATCCTGTAGAATAATGACATGAATGTATACTTTGCAGATATTAGATGGAATGTTCCATAGATGCCTCTTAAGTCCATTTCTTCTAAGGTATGGTTCCATTTCAGTGTTTCCTTTTGATTTTCTGTCTGGATAGTGTATCTACTGCTGATAACGGGGTAATGAAGTTCCCTGCTGTTACTGGATTGCTGTACAATTCTCCCTTAATTTCTGTAAGTATTTGCTTATTAGATTCCAGTGCTTGAAAGTTGATAGTACACATACTTGTGGTTTTTATATCTTCTTGATGTACTGATCCCTTTGTCATTATATAATAACCTTCTCGTCTTTTGTGACTATCACTTTTTAAAAAACTATTTATATTGAGAGAAAGAGAGAGAATCCTTGGAAAGCTCGGTGCCACCAATGCAGAGCATGACATGGGCCTAAACCCCACAAGATTATGATCTGAGCTGAAACCAAGAGTCTGATACTTAACTGACTGAGACACCCAGGTGCCCCTGCTACTACTTTTTTTATGTTGATTTATTTATCTTGAGAGAGAGAGAGTGAGTGCACTAGTGGGGGAGGAGCAGAGAGAGAGGGAGAGAGAGAACTCTAAGTAGGTTTCACACAGTCAGTGTGGAGCCCAATGAGGGGCTTGATCTCAAGATCAAGAGATCATGACATGAACCAACATCAAGAGTGGGACATGTAACTGACTGAGCTATTCAGGTGCTTCAGCCACTTTTAAATTGAAATTCGTTTCTTTTGATATATAAGATATAAAATATATGTATTGTACCTACTTTCTTTTGGTTTTTATTTGCCTGGAAAAACATCTTCCTTCCCGTCATTTTGAACTTACGCATGTCTTTAGAGCTCATATAAAACTCCTGTAGGTAGCATATAGTTGGGTTTGTTTTTCATCCATCCAGCCACTGTGTGCTGTATGATTGGTAAGTTCATCCATTTACATATATGGTGATTATTAATATATAAGAATTAGTAGTATTCTTTTAACTTTTGCTTTCTGGTTATTTTCTGTCTATATCGGTTCTTTTTCATTCTCTTTCTATATACCTTAATACCTTGGTGGGTTTTCTCATGATTTGCTTAGTCTTTCTTTTTTTCTTTTTAAAGCTTATTTATTCATTTTGAGAGGGAGAATATGAGCAGGAGAGTGGGCAGAGAGAGAGCTAGAGAATCCCAAGCAACCTCCAGCCCTCAGTTTGTTCTCAGCATTCAAGAGTCTCTCATGGTTTGCCTCCCTCCCTTTCCCCAACTATTTTTCCCCTTCTCCACCCCCATGGTCCTCTGTTAAGTTCCTCCTAACCCACCTATACATGCAAAGGTATGGTATCTGTCCTTCTCTGCCTGACTTATTTCACTCAGCATAACACCCTCAAGTTCCATCCATGTTGCTACACAGGGCCAGATTTCATTCTTTCTCATTGCCATGTAGCCTTCCATGGTATAGATAAACCACACCGTCTTGACCCATTCATCAGTTGGTGGACATTTAAACTCTTTCCAGGATTTGGCTATTAAAAGTGCTGCTATGAACACTGGGCTGCATGTGCCGCTCTGCATCAGCACTCCTGTATCCCTCGGGTAAATTCCTA